GTAGACATAGCCTTAGGGAATATGTGTGGGTGTGCCAAGTAATAACCACTTACTCAGCAAAGCTACATTACTGGATCATTCAGATGAATACAATGGTTTCAGAATGAATGGAAGTGTTCTTTACCGCAGGCAAATACCTAGGAATGAGTACTCAATATTTATCCCAGCAAAAGGTTTTAACCACAAGTTACACAAGATTCCACAGTAAGATTGAAGCCTAAGAGATTGAACTAGCATTATTACATGGGAAAATGCTTAACCTCTTAGTCTGAAGAATTTGTTAGGATATGCATCAAAATGATGGGTAAGTTAAGGAATGGAATCTGAGAGGAAAATGCCATGCTCTGTTATAAAATCAGGACAGACCTGAAGTATGAGATGTTGCAGCACTGTTCAAATCTTCCCCCATTCTGCCCCCCAGGAATGAAATGGATAATACTGAAAATATGCCATAATAATCATATATGCTTTCTCTGGAACAGGACTGCTTATCCCATCTGGGGGCTCCGAAATATGTGAAAAAAATATGAGCAAAGTTAGAGAAATTTCCATACAGAAAAGTGAAAAATTGGGACAGTTTATAGAGAAAAATATAGACACAAGAGGGCAGACTGAAGAAACAGTAGGGATGAATGTAGTAAAAAGGATGTGAGAATCCTGATGCTTCAAGAAACACCTGGGCTCTGAGATGGTGTAGAATGGTGGTCTCACTCCTATTTTCTATGCCCCAAGCTCAGAGGCACCTTCTTAGCATAAAATACCTTGTGCCATTTACAGTATTCTCTTCTGCCACCTACACAGCCTATGCAACCACAACCCAACAGTGGAGAGAGGGCTCTCATGGCTCTGACTCTACAAGACTGCCAACTGTCTGTCCTCATCTCTCTCATCCCACTCACCCTTTTCCTCCCCTTCATACTTGTGGCTTTTGTACCATTTGGGCTAATGAGCCGTTTAACTTTCTCAAGCCAATCCCAATTTATCAGCCAGGTGCAGTTTCCATTCCGAGGTGCACTGATGGTAACTAACTGGAGCCACAGGACTGCTGTTGTCCTGTGCCCTGTTATGGATTAGTTAAAAAATCCCTGTATCCTGTCAAAACCACAATCCTTATTTTCCAAATATAGTAAAATGCCAATAGTCCAGTATCCAATTGTATGGCACTCCCAATAGTCCGGCATCAAAATGGCAAGAGCCTAGTGAGTGGGCTTCAGCAAAAAACACGTCATAAGGCAGCAGTGGCAGCAGCTGAACCAAGAGAAACCGGATGGGGCCGAGTCAGTCTGCCACTGGCATTGTGAGACGCTGGACAGTGCTTGTGCTACAATAAAAAGGGTTAAAAACACTTTATATACAGTACATACTGTGTGTGTGTGTATGTGTATTATATATACATATATATATATACACACACACACACACACACACACACATCATCTTATAGTACTTCCTGATAGTCCAGCATATTTGATAATCCGGCACCACCTAGGTCCCAAAGGTTCCAGATTATCAGAACTCTACTGTACATACAAAACAGCCAATGAGACTGAGAAATGAAATTTCAAAGTTTATTGGCAGGTGGTATTGTTCAAATGGTAGCAGGCTCCTGGCATCTTAGGAACTCATCGCAGGGTGTTGTAATTGAAGGGTTGTTTCTTTTTGCCATAGCAGAAGTTGCAGAGTGGTGGGTTGATGACTTGCAAAGGAGAATGGCAGAAATCAGGAAATTAATGTCTCCTCCTTCTCCTCCTTCTCCTATGAGATCTACGTCTACGACCTCTCCTCCTTCGGCCATGTCTTCTCCTTCTCCTCCTTCGATGATGTCGACCCCCACGACCGCCCCTTCGCCGCCTTCTGCGACGGCTCCTGCTCCTGCTCCTGCTGCGTCTGTATCTTGCCATTTCCGGAGAAGGTTTTGACTTTCAAGATCTCCGCAGCTGGAGCACCACCTCCCCTAGAAGGCGGCCAACCTGTCTGGTGTGATTCTGGTGAGATAAGCTTGTGGGTCGAGCTGGCTGCTCTGGCCTTTATATAGAGGGACTGATAACTGTGACAAAACCCACCCGGGTCACTCACCTGTGATGAAGTATAATGGGCTCCTTCAGATATGGGCATCAATTTGACTGTATAGCAAAGTGTCCATATAAGGAAAAATCAGCTAATGTGATCAAGTATGTCCACTAACTTTTACTATCAAACAAGTTGACTAACTATGAAAAGTGACAGTTTTGACCCTATATGGTTATAGTTGCTTGCTATTCATACTTCAGGTTTTTTCCTTATATGGTCGCTTCAACAAAGACTGCCATTTTATATTTTTTAACATGACCACATAACAGAAATTAAATAGACTTTAATATAACTTTTATTAAAATCAGCGATCAATGTTCATATGACTTAATCTTAATACTAGAGCCATTCACCAACGTCCCAAGTCTGGTGGAATGCTAAATGCTTGCTCAATCATCAAAAGAGAGGGATCACTATTAACATTAAATAGAAATATCTGTATGACTCATAAATAGTCATAAATAGAATAATTTTTAAAACTGAGTTTCCTTTGTTTAAATGAGCTCAACGGAAAATATCCATAGGATTTTTGTTATTTCTGTTCACAGAAAACAGAACACAACATGCAAAATTGTTTTTAAAAAATTGTGTGTTTATAAAATTTCTTGGTGAGCTTCTGATATGTTACAGAGGGGGAAAGAATATTTTGAATACTGAATATTTACAAAGGAGGGATAGCTTACTTTATTCTTAGGGACAATCCTTTGCAAAATCTCTCTGACATGACCATGACATCTCTTTGTGGAAAAGAGAGGAGAATTAAAAGTAAGTAAAAATCAAATTAAAAGAAACACGGTGAAAATTTAGTTACATTTGCTGGAGACAAAATATTTGGTTCTTAAAGGTCTTTTTTTAAACACATATCTCAAAATTTCACAAAACTTTAACAAAACTTGTCAATAACATTTCTCCTGGGAAGAACAATTACAGATTTGGGCTTTCCATTTTTTCCTAGACAAGCATCTTTCACATCAAGAAAAGTAGATGACCTGGGAATGAATGTGTCTTTATGACAGATGCAACAGATTTACCTCCGAAAATATCATAGCTGTTGAATGCTGTGATATATCATTCCTCTAAGAGGCAGTTTACATGGAAACACTCCAGAAGATATTCCAAATTAACTGAGGTTGTGAATGTAAAAGGTTAAACTGCATGGAACCCCGTGTGTACACTCATTGGGGATGTCTACACATCAACATTATTTTGAAATAACTAGTGTTATTTTGAAATAAGTTACACAGTAGGCAGTTATTTCAAAATAATGTTGAAATACTGTCAAGCTGGAGGACTTCTGACTGCGACTCCTGTAACCTCATTGTACAAGGAAATCAGAAAAACAGTGCTTTATTTTGAAATAAGTGCTGTGTAGATGCCCCCAATTTCAAAATAAGCTATGCAATTGACGTAGCTCAATTTGCGTAGCTTATTTTGAGTTAAGCCCTGCTGTGTAGACGCACCCATTCAGAATTAAAATGGATTTATTTAGTTTAGCTTAGCTAAACCAAATTAAGACCACTTTAATTCTGAATGAGAGTATCTAGGGGTGAAAGTAAAGTTAATTTTTCCTAAGGCACCTCACCTAAGGCAGGGGGGTTTATATGACCTTCCTACATAACCCTCATGTCCTGCTCCCTACCCAGGACCCCACACTTCCCCTTCACATCCCACATTATGGAGGTGGGGGTACAACTGCCAGAGAAGCTGATGGCAGTTCTGCTGCTTTCCCTGCTTTCTTCTGCCCCTACTAGCGGGGAAAAGAGCAGAAGCCCCAGCCCTGCCCTGCCTCTCCGCAGAACTGCCTCTCCTTTGACAGGACTGTGGGGGCAGGGCTGGAGGTTCTGCACCTTTTCCCACTGGGAGGGGCAGGCAGTGAGGAAAGTAGCAGAATGCTGGCAGCTCCAGTGGCTGCCATACTGCTCCCAGTTCCCTTCCCAGCCCAGTTCTCCTGTGGGGCTGCTGCTATACAGAGGGACAAGAGGCATCTCTGTGGGGAGGTACAGTGTCTTTCCAAAACACTGTACCCACTCTAAATAGCTGGTTCAGTGTACTGGACTTTGCCAGCCACTTTCTCACCAGTATGGCTGTACCAGCATAACTTTCTCAGAGGTGAAAGTTAATTCAGATTGTCCATTCCTGTGTAGATAAGCCCTAAGGGTACGTCTACACTAGCTCATTACTTCGAGCTAGGTAGGGTAATTAGGGCAAGCGGAGTTGCAAATGAAGCCCGGGATTTAAGTATCCTGGGCTTCATTTGCACGTTCCTGGGCGCCACCATTTTTAAATCCCCCTTAGTTCGAACTCCGTGCCCATGGCTACACACGGCATGGAGTAGGTAGTTTGAAAGATCCTAATTCGAACTACCATTACTCCAGTGGGCGGGCATGAAGGGCAATAATGATGACATGCTTTCGTAGTATAGTATGCATACATGTTGGAAAATAGGCTGAAAATACACATACATTGGAGAATAGGCTGTTTGCCAGGATGTGCAGCCAAACTGATAGGTGAGAAAAGGAATGGAGTAATACTGAAAATATAATGCCCATTATAAAATCAGATAATTCCAGAAGAATTTTGCAGCACTGTTCCTCAGAAGTCCCAATAAGGAGTGGAATGGATAATAAAATATGCCATCATCTAACCATACGACCCCTCCTAACAACAGTGTTCAAATTCTGGGCAGCTTATCTCACTTGGGATTTTAGAGATAGGTGAAAAAATGAACAAAGGCAGAAAAACTTCGATATGAAAAGAGAAAAGGGGTAGGAGGTACATGAATGATAGAAATTCGGTGCAGAATTAAGACCAGAGAATCCTAATCCTTTCAGGAAATAACCTCTAACTGAGAGGTCTAGGAATAAACTGTAAACTTCATAAATATAGTCAATATTTCTAAACCTATACAAAGATCCAATGAAACCGAGAAATGAAATTTCAAAGTTTATTGGCAGGTGGTATTGTTCAAATGGTAGCAGGCTCCTGGCATCTTAGGAAGTCATCGCAGGGTGTTGTAATTGAAGGGCTGTTTCTTTTTGCCATAGCAGAAGTTGCAGAGTGGTGGGTTGATGACTTGCAAAGGAGAATGGCAGAAATCAGGAAATTAATGTCTCCTCCTTCTCCTCCTTCTCCTATGAGATCTACGTCTACGACCTCTCCTCCTTCGGCCATGTCTTCTCCTTCTCCTCCTTCGATGTCGACCCCCACGACCGCCCCTTCGCCGCCTTCTGCGACGGCTCCTGCTCCTGCTCCTGCTGCGTCTGTATCTTGCCATTTCCGGAGAAGGTTTTGGCTTTCAAGATCTCCGCAGCTGGAGCACCACCTCCCCTAGGAGGCAGCCAACCTGTCTGGTGGGATTTCCTTTGCTTGTGGGTTGAGTTGGCTGCTCTGGCCTTTATATAGAGGGACTGATAACGATGGCAAAATCCACCCGGGTCACTCTCCTGTGATGAAGCATAATGGGCTCCTTCAGATATGGGCATCAATTTGACTGTATAGCAAAGTGTCCATATAAGGAAAAAAACAGTTGTCCTGATCATGCTTTTAAATAGCATTATCAATTGAAATGACTATAAAAGGACAAAGCCTCAAGGTTTAACCTTATATGGAAGTATAAACAGCTCTCTCTGTTGAAATGGTAATATAACAAGAAGAAAAAAACCCAATGGTTGCAGCCAACTATGAAACTATGGATTTTTTTGTCTGTATATTACCCTTGCATTGTTGGATTAATTTTTAAAATGTTTGGGTGATTTCATTTAAACTAGTGATAGAAAACCAACAATAGAACACCACTTGTCATCACCTACAACCCCCAACTTAAACCTGTCCAACACATTATCAATAAACTACAGCCTATACTGGAACAGGATACCATACTCCAAGAGGCTCTGGGAGACAGACCCATAGTCTCCTATAGACAACCACCTAACCTCAAGATGATTCTTACCAACCACCACAGGACATACCACACTAATACCAACCCTGGTACCTTCCCTTGCAACAAACCCCGTTGCCAGCTTTGTCCACATATTCATTCTGCTGATACCATTATTGGACCCAACCAAGTGAGTTATAAGATCAAGAACACATATCCCTGCGCATCCAGAAATATAATCTACGCTATCATGTGCCGAAAGTGTCCGTCTGCTATGTACATTGGACAAACATCTCAGACACTTCGCCAAAGGATTAATGCCCACAAAACAGATATCAGACAAGATCACAAAGAGAAAACAGTTTCTTGCCACTTTAACCAGAAAGGACACTCTCTAAATGACTTAGCCACCTGCATTCTGCTACAAAGACCTTTTACATCTGCACTTGAAAGGGAATCCTCTGAACTGTCATTCATGTTAAAATTCGACACTTACCAACAAGGACTTAACAAGTCTTTGAACTTTCTCACCCATTACCAAGACAGTTTCCCCAATTATCACCTGTAATACCATTAACTCACAAACATCCCACTCTCCCTACCTTTAATATCAGCAATTCACAGACACTTACCTTCCTTCCTCCCCCTTCCCACCCCCCCGCATCCCCCTTCTGTTCTGCAATGTGATTTGTCCTTTTCATATTTGTTCATTTTTTTTAAATTGTATCCTTTGGTATATATGGTTGTGACTACTTTCTTCCACTATTTGATCTGAGGAAGTGGGTCTGGCCCACGAAAGCTCATCATCTAATAAACCATCTTGTTAGTCTTTAAAGTGCTACATTGTCCTGCATTTTGCTTCATTTAAACTGTGGATTTATTCAGGATACCTATATTTGGTGGGATTTCCTGAGCTTGTTGGTTGAATTGACACTATGATCTTAGAGGCATAACGATATTCGTGAAATAATTCTCCAAAGACTAAAACAAAATCCATGATTTGAATAAATTGTGTCAAATCTCCCTTTCCACTTCAGGCAAGCAAGAAGATAACCCACTATATTTCTAGTATTGTACTTTTTTCACTAGAATGACCAGTCGTTCAATAGGAGGAGTTACAATTTGAAAATAATAGATTAGATTCTCTATTATCTATTGAACTAATTTGCAATTCACACTGGTATAACTGAGAGGACAATCAAGTCAATCATTTTGCACTGGAAATGTTTATGGACTTTTCCACTTAATATTCAAATGGGTTACCCAACCCATTGAGAATTGCTGCTCTAAATAGCAGATCCGCCCCAATAACCAAAACAGGGCACTGCAGGAGAAACTTTTGAAATTATTAATAAATAGCTATGTGAGTAGAAAGTCTTAAGAAGCAGGTCATTTCCCCCAACATTCATCCTCGATATCTTTGTGTACGTGTTTCATTTACTGTCGGTCTTAGTTGGAACATGCTCAGTTTGGTTGATATATTTTATTTATTTTCACACCTCCCTCGACCTTCCTTCTGTTTTCCCATTATCCTCAAACTCCCGGCAATATGTTTCCTCCTTCCCACGTTCTCGTCTCCCTCATAGTTTCCTGTCCAACTTCCAAACAGACCTATATTAGTGTCACATTCTCTAAGGGCAGCCCAGGTTCAATTTCTTCAGAAAAAAGATGGGAGTCCTCAGCCAACTTTCCTGCACAAACCTTTTCCCCCCCCCTCAATAGTGTTTCTCTGGCTTTCATAGAAAAAAAAAACCTTTGCAGTTTAAAGACCTTCAACTTTAGAGCAACAGCTACTGAGCCAGTAACCTCACAAAGGCCTGCACTAGAGACCTCACAAAAGGCTGAGGTTTAACATGAGCCCAGAGCTGATCTAGCAAACGTTAAAGAGACTTGAGCTTTGATAAGTGCCAACCTCTTCACATTACCCTAGCAAGGCACAGGTGCTGTGCCAAAGACATCATCCTAGGAATAAGGAGGTACTGAGCTAGCATCCTGACTAAGTTCCATTTGAAGCAGGAACTCTGTGTCAGGGCTATTATCAGCCCAGTATGTTGAATGTATTGAGCCAGTAACCTCACAGCAATCCATTCTGACGTCTCTGATATCAATCCAGTATGCTACATTTGATGAACAAATAACCTCAGATGCCTGTAGTTGGTCATAAGCCCTGAAACCTAGAGGTCCTGAATCATTAACTGCATAAAGGACTGTTGCCTTGGCACCAGTCTAGAATTCTAGAATGTGTTCAGGTTTGACTTAACCCCAACAAGCTAAAGGTCCTGAGCTGGTAACACTCCAAGGCCTGTACATTTATATGAACTCAACACACTATAATTGACAAGCTAGTGACCTCACAGAGACCTCTGCATTGATTTCAGTGAATAGTTAGCAGATGCACATGGGAAAGAAAATAAGCTAGTGAACTCACAGAAAGTGCTTGAAGTCCCTTTTGTTTTTCTTGAGTGATACAATAGGGATTTAAAGAAGAGCTGGGGAGCTGGCCTTCTGTAGTTATTAAAACTCAGGCTATTTATTTGGAATGACTACAACATTTGGAATTCATTAAAAGAATCAATTCTATTTTAACATGGAGTGGAAAATGAAACAAACAGTTTGCTTGTCTCAGTTGGCAATCTTCACAGAATAAATATCTATAATCCAACCCTTTATTCATTTTAATCACAATATTTTTCAATTGGGAATTCTATCAGTCCAATTACTGAAGCTTGCAACAACTGAATAATTTTATGAACTAGTGGTTACATTTGTAATTATAACCTGCATTTTGAAAACTTTAGCCATCAATCAGACATCAGATACTGTGTTTTGTGTAAAGCTTCACAAGCCAACCAAAATCCATTATTTAATCAAATGATACCTTCTTGAGCAATAAATACATGCCTTCATTTGTATCCTGTTTGCATTACTGAGGGTATGTCTACACTTCTACACTACAGTGTTATTTCGAAATAACGCATCTAGACATAAAATGCATTTCGAAATAGCGTTTTGCTATTTTGAAATAGTGTATCCACACTGATTGGACACTGAATCACATTTAAGACTGGACGGAACTGGTTCTGGCAGGGCATCAGGTCAGGAGTTACCTTGGGTTATCTGAGGCCTGTGCTTAAAGGGACCCCCCCAGACAGCCACTTCTCAGGTTTCCCTACTTGCTTGCCTACCTCGCTGAGGGACAGCAAAGCATTTTGTCTCTGTGTGCTCTGGTTGCCCTCACTCAGGACACCACAGGACTCTGCATCATGGATCTGGAGCCTCCCTTGGGCAATCTAGTTCTTCTCTTGGACGTGTTGCTGCGAGCCTGGCAGCACATTCTGCAGGCAGTAACAGTCTCCCTGGTGTGTCCCACTGGGGGCTTGTGCCTCATTCCTCCCTCACATCCTTCCACTAACCCCTCCCCCTGCTGTACAATAAAAGACATGTGTTCATTACAACAAAGTCTCTTTATTGAACAAAACTGTGTGTGGGGGGGAGGTGGGGGGAGTGAAACTGAGGTGAGACTGGGGAAAGAAGGTGGGAGAGGGGAGGAGGGAAGGTAGGCGAGGGGAGGAGGAAACCTGGGAGGAGGGAGCTGGCAGGGGGAGGCAAGGGGAGGAAGGGGGAGGAGAAGCTCAGGGCTCAGGGTTGGGGGTTTCGCCGACCCAACTGTCGAATTAATTTCGAAATAGCGGTTGGCTTGTGTAGATGCTAGTACAGTTATTTCAAAATAACAGCTGTTATTTCAAAATAACTTTGCTGGGTAGACATACCCTGAGAGTTTTGCTACAACAAATGTACTAACAAAAACAACATTTTGTTAAATATAATTGCCTGGGCAAATGAGACACATACTGAATAAAACAACATAAAAGCATGGTAGTGTTTTTGTGGTTTTTTTTAAATAAATAGACTTTAAATGCTGCCTGTTACTTCTAAAATTACAATTTATATAAATATAGAAAAATAACTTACAGGTAAAGAGAGCAGTGCCAGTTTAAGGTGAGTAAAATTTTAATAAAGATTTCCCAACTCACATTAAAAAATGAAGATGCCAGTGTACATATAATTGTTCTAATCAACAATCATTTCAATAATTTAATTTATTTTTAGGACTACATCACAACTATAAACATTATTGGACCAACAAACAACTGGATAATGCTAATATTGTACATTTGTAATGCATATATTGGGCCATATTGGATTAATTAGCTTTTGTATGTGCATTATAATAAATTATAGCTCAAAATATTTTATATGAATCATTTCACAAGAGTATAAAAATTCTAGGAGCAGGAAAATGCTATTTAGTGCAACATGCTTGTCTCTAGTTTAGTTCATTTTCAATGGATAATGTTAAGGCAAAAATTACTTTTCAAAAAGCATACAGATATAATTATCTCTGTTACCAATTGCACTTTAAATTACTACATCTGATAATCAAGGCACAGATTATTTTTACAAATATGCAGAAATGGAAGTGCACTTAGTATGCCCATAAAACAGATAATTTTTGCCCATTTCCTGATTTGCATGTGCTCTCATGATTACTGTGCATGTAAATTACATATAAGTATTTTTGTGCACACTGTTTCTAAAATGTGTGCTAAGGTTCACTTTTCATTAATGATGCTTTTTGTTTATTTTTTGTATTTGACTGCTTGGGCACTAAAAATAGACCATTTAATTTAATTTTTGTTTATAGTAATTTTCTAGTTAGTTCCACTTTCAATTTCTAATATACCGCACAAATCAGTTTTATGTTACAATCCTCCAAACCCTTACACACTTCAGTAGTTCCACTGAAGATGGAAAAATGGATACATTCAAATACATAAAGTCACTTGTGTATATGTGTTTGTTTCAGGGCTTTGGTTTGCAAACACTTTAGGGGGATGTTTATCTGCCTTTCTAGGAAATTGTTTCCATTTGTTTTACAGGAAAACAAAACTATTTTTACTAGAGTTAGATTGTGAAAAGGCTTGCTTTTGCAGAACTTAAAGTAAGGGTCACTAACACTAACAACAGGATCCCCTGGGATCTTAAAATCATAATTCTGCTAGACACTAAAGACAAGCAACACTGGATTTATGGCTTATTGTAACAGTCTGTAACCAATTGACTCCCCTTTTTGTCCTATGTCAGCAGAGGTGTTAACAGTCCCCACTGCCATTAATGGTCCCTAACCACCAATGCTAAACAATCTATTCCTCTTCACATTTTGCTATGATGGTGGGAGCTTATTTCCCAGTCCCGAAGAACAGCTCTGGGTAACTCAAAAGTGTGTCTATGTCAGGCGTTGTTTACATGCCAATTGAAGGACAAAACTTTTGTTATTCACAGGTGTTTAAATGTTCCCTCCCACATGAAAGAAAAATGTTTTACCTTGGCAAGCAGCAGAATAAACAGCTTGTTGCAAGCAGGCGCGGTAGCAAGGCAAACCATGCTTATAGGGGATGGAAATATTTTGTCAGCAAAAGTGCCAATAACAGCATTTACATGGTTCAGCATTTAGTGACACGTTCATCACTTTTGGCAAATTAAATATCTAGAATTCTGCAGAATTTTGAATTGTTTGGTGCAGAATCCCCTCAGAAGTTTCAGCATGCTGTGGCCCAGTTTAAAACAGCAATGCACCCTCACAGTGAGCTACAGAGATGAAGTGATGCAATGAGGCTAGTGTTCAGTAGTTGATGGAAGTAAATCATCCTATTCTAGGTGCTAGTTCCCTTGGTACCATAGATGCCAGCTTCCTCTGGGTGCAGCTCAACTCCCTGCTCCCTGCTTTGGCAAAAGGAGATCTATAGTTTCTTTCAGATCTTTGAACTCGGATGAACACACTGTAGAGTTTGCATTAGGAACAAAGCCAAGGCTGGTAAATTACCCATAAATTATGGTTGATATCTGACATCTATATTTTCATTCAAGGGAGAGAAAGCAGATCAGCTTATAGATATAACATTATCCATGGAATTTCTTCTGCATTCAGTACTTCATGAACACTCTGAACTGGTTTATTCCTAACCAAAATATTTTCTCTAATGACTGACAAGTCTCCCCCACCAATATGTGCCAATGTAAAAGACTTTAAGACTCTGCACAGCTGTATTTTTACCATTTATAGAAAGATATTTTGCTATTCCCATGCAGACTCTAATACATTGCAAAGTGAACTGCAAATTAATTACTTTCAATCACTCTGGAGAAATTCATTCAAACATCAAATGCAGACGTTTCTTCCTAAGCTAAAAAATACTTATGTTCTCTGGGTTTTCAGCTTCTTTGGAAAAAAGTTAATTGTCCTACATATTGAAAATATTGACAGGTCATTTTGTAGTTTCCACTTTAAGAATAGAGACTGATGTTAGAGGGCTTATCCCTTCACCCACCCCATCCATTTCCATAGTCCTTCCCACGTGACTAGAGAAAAGCAATACCTGAAGTCCAGAGATGCAAACAATTCAGTGTTTACTGGGGTTGGCTTCCAGCAAGCGTGAATCTAGTTTCCTTTTTTCCCTTGCTCCCCCTTTCCTTTGTTTCTTGCTTACTTTCTGCTTGCCTCCAATTTATATAGTAACATTCTCAGATATACTTTAACCAATAATTTTACTGAAATTTAACTAACCAATTCTAGCATATTGTAACATGATTATCCCACAACCTGGATTAGTTTACACCCAGTAAAATTATTTCTACAGCAGACAGAAACAATCAAAGAACCAGACAGAGACTATTCAGATAAACAATAGAGAAGTGGGGCCATAATGGGAATGTCTACACTGCGGAGGTTTTCCGGGATACCAGAGGTATCCCAGAAAAACACCACCACATCAAAGGAACGCGTTTGCTCTTCCACTTTTTTTTTTGTGGAAGAGCAAATTCACTCTTTCAGGGAGCCCTATATACCCTGTTCTACAAGGCATAAGGGCTCCTCTGAAAGAGGAGGCTTTTCTGCCATTTGGTCCCATCTAGACAGGGCCAAATGGTGGAAAAACCTCTTCCAAAAAAAATCCCTTTAGCGTAGACCTCGCCAATGACAAAACAATAAAGAAATGGGGATTTCACAACCCCAGCTACTGATAAGTGGGACCTTGTCATACAGAAAACTATCAAGCTAAGTTTTCTTAAGTCTTCTAGGCTCTTTCGTTTATCTGGAGGTGATATATTTGATTGCCTAACAGCCCAAAATTGCAATATTTTAGTGTGTAAGGACATGACC